AAAAAGCAAAACTTGAATTTGCTGCATGCTGGCAGCTATTTACATAGCATTTGCATTGTATTTACAATTGTTTATAGTATTTGCATTGTATTGCAGATTGTTAAGTACTTTAGAGGTGATTTAAGGTCTACAGTCTACAGTATGATGTGTGCAGGTTGTATGCAGAGGCAGGCATGGCTGCTCTGAGTCAGCCTGAACAGATTGCATCCATCCATCCACTCCATCACTGAACCAGAAACAGGGTTATAGCTCAGTCTAAGAGCCGGTCCCTCTTGTGTTACTTTCATAGCCAAAGCCTTAATAATCAACTCAACTACCAGTCTTCAGACTTTTTCCCTGTTTTCTGCCAGTTGCTCTCCCAGAATATGTTCTACCTGGCTAACTATTCTGGGTGCACTGGAAAATGAGTATTCTGAGTGCCCATTCTCCTTTTATTGGGTGGAATGCTAAAAAATGTCAGTTTGATTTAATTGGCTGATGGTACTGTTTTGCTCTTGTGTTCCCTTACTGATTTTTGGTCTGTATGTTCTATTAATATGGAGAGAAGGGTATTGAAGTCTCTGACTATAACTGGATTTTTATGTTTCTCCTTGGCAGTTCTGACATTTTTTTCTTTGTATGTTTTGAAACTGTGTCATGAGGTTTATAAAAATTTAGGATTATGTCCTTTTAATGAACTGATCCCTTGATAATTATTATGAAATTACCTTTTTAAAATTCCTGGTGATATTGGCTATGACATAAACTTTGAATGATGTTAGTATAGAACTTCTCTCTTTTTTCCTTGGTGTTTTCATTGTATATTTAAAAAAAAACTCTTTTACTTTTTCTGTAACATAGTCTAATTCTACTACCATTGGTTTCCCCCAATTTTTTCCGTCTTTTTTTTGTCTTTGATAAATTAAGATAAAAAAAATCTCTATATTGGATAGAAGTTCTAAAACTTGGCATTGTTAACAATTTTACAGTCTTGGATAGCATTTTTTTCTGGCAAAAAAGGGTTTTCCTAGAAAGCAATTGAATGGTTACATTTCTGATGGCATACGTGTTCAATTTAGTAACCTAAAAACTGACATTTACTGTTGTTTTCCTTTAGGTTTGAAAATGTAGATATTATGTTTGAAATTTTTTAAAATTTTATTCACTCTAGTGTGATGAGAATTGTATTTGACTTTGTTATGGAGAAATAATCTACTGACAAGTCATTTCTGTTGCTTTTCGGGTAATGAAAGACTTATAGAGGTGATAAAATTAGGTAATTGATGAATTTTAATGATATAATTGATTTGGAATTTTATGCAGAAGCTTTAGGATAGTCATGCAGTTCTACTATTTCAAGTGTTAATAAGGCTGAAGTCAAATATTCCAGAATTGTTAGTAATTTTATGTAAATGATGATACATTTTAAAAATATTTTTGAGCATTGTAAAGTTCAAAGGTAAGCTGGCTTTTCATTTATAAGGTTTTTGTTGTTTTTAAAATGTTAATTACAAAGTCAGGTAATTAGCTAGAAACATTTCCTTGAAGAAGATACTGCCACACAGTTTTGCTGATGCAGAGGGTAGAAAA